GGATGATTTCAGACCTGGAATTGCTGATCTCTACTGAATTAAAAGGTAAAAGTTGAAAACCACAGCCTCATGACATCAAGAGGTGGAAAAAAAACAGTTTTGGGGATGTAAACAGATGAATAATAAAGAGCGTAAATGAAACGAAACACAACTTCAGGTTTGTTTTTGTTGATTTAACAACATTATAACATGACTTAAAGATCACAAGAGTTGAAAAGAATGTTAAATTTAGAAAGCAGTATTTATGATTTCATGTTCTCCTGCGTATTTAAGATCTTTCAAACAGAAAACACTCTGCTCCACCTTGTGATGTCACGAGAAACATTTGGATTATTTCAGCCCTGGAATTTCCAATCTCTACTGAAAGAAAGGTAAAAGGAGCTGTGAAAACTACTGCTTCATGACATCACAAGGTGGAACAGAGCATTTTGAACTCTGGAGATGTAGACAGACTAATAATAAAGAGTTACTCAAACATGTAAATGAAACAAAACACAACTCCAGGTTTGTTTTTGATTATTTGACAACATTAGAACATGACTTAAAGCTCACAACAGTTGAAAAGAATGTTTAATTTAGAAAACAGTATTTATTATTTCATGTTCTCCTGTGCATTTAAGCTCTTTTAAACAGAAAACACTCTGCTCCACCTTGTGATGTCATGTTGTAATACAGCAAGTGCTTCACTGTGTTTTTAAACTCCACACACCTTCACTAGAAACATCTGGATTATTTCAGTCCTGGAATTGCCAATCTCTACTAAAAGAACGGTAAAAGGCTTCATGACATCACAAGGTGGAACAGAGCATTTTGATACAGCAAGTGCTCCACTGTGTTTTTAAACTTCATACACCTTCACTAGAAACATTTGGATTATTTCAGTCCTGGAATTGCCAGTCGTTACTGAAAGAAAGGTAAACGGAGCTGTGAAAACTACCACTTCATGACATCACAAGGTGGAACAGAGCATTTTGAACGCAGGAGATGTAGACAGACTAATAATAAAGAGTTACTCAAACAGTGTGAACGAAACAAAACACAATTCCAGGTTTGTTTTTGAGGAAGTAACAACATTATAACATGACTTAAAGCTCACAAGAGCTGAAAAGAATGTTAAATTTAGAAAACAGTATTTATGATTTCATGTTCTCCTGCGTATTTATCTTTCAAACAGTAAACCTTCACCTTCACTAGAAACATTTGGATTATTTCAGTCCTGGAATTGCCAAACTCTACTGAAAGAAACATAAAAGGAGATATGAACTTAAAAACTACCACTTCGTGCCATCACAAGGGGGAACAGAGCAATTTGAACTTTGGAGAGGTTTGTTTTTGACGAAGTAACAACATTAAAACATGACTTAAAGCTCACAAGAGTCAGGTTTGCGTAAAATAAAGGACCTTTAAGAATAATCTCAACTGGAGCGAATCTTTCGAGAGTGTAATAATAAAACCAAAAGCTTGTCTAAATAACACTGTCTTGAGCTGCTGTTTGGAGAATAAATTACACAAAATGATGAGTGATGTGGCTACAAATATGAATGTTGTTTTTATCAATATAACGGTTGTTTTTAGAAATAAATCTGACTTTTAAAAATGAGCTGTATGTACATAAACAACAGAGAGTTAACCACGTTTTCCACAGTGCCCAAAAATCTGTTTATTCTTCCAAACTTAAGACACAAAACCATCATTTGTGGTTAAATATTTTCGACAAGAGCAGATATATGACCAGCCCAGTGTGTATTCTCATCTTCATCACTGCAGACAGACTGGAGCGTGCCTCTTCCTCTTCTTCCTCCTCCTCCTGTGTAACGGCTCTACACGCCCGCTGATGGCTCCAGTAGTTTCACATTGTTCACAGCCGAGGTTTGAATGAGTTGTATCTGATTGGCTAATGCTACAGTGTCTACAGAACACATACAGACATATACATACACACTTACACACACACACATGCACACACACACACACACGCACACACACGCTGAAGCCCAGAAAGCCCTGCAGACTATAGACTCCGTGAGCAGTGGAGCGCGTTTGACTTTTGACTGGTGCTAATCAGCCATGAACCTTAAGAATCTTTTCAATGCTTGGCTGACACAGCGTGCAGCGGCTGTCAATTTATTTTAAGGGGGTTTGAAAAACTATATTTTTTATTTGAACCTTTTCCAGAATAGCTTATTAAATTGTCAAGTCGGGCTGGACAATGCATCACAATTTACTCAAAATCTCAAATGGAGTTCATGCAATTATCAAATCATAAAGGCGACAATAATTTTACACAGTCACACAACAAAAATCTGTGTGACATTTATTTATTTATTTTTATTATATCTATGTATTTACGTTTTCTATGCATGTTCTATGTATTATTGTCCAATTAAACATTCATTAATTCAAATAAAGTATCTTGTCAAGATGCCAAAGTGACTGGACACACACACCTGTACACACACACACCTGTACACATACACACCTGTACACACACCTGTACACATACACACCTGTACACACACCTGTACACACACCTGTACACACACCTGTACACACACACACACACTGTCACACACACACACACTGTACACACACACCTGTACACACACCTGTACACACACCTGAACACACACACACTGTACACACACCTGTACACACACACTGTACACACACACACACCGTACACACACACACCTGTACACACCTGTACACACACACATAACACACACACACTGTACACACACATGTACACACCTGCACACACTGCACACACACACACTGTACACACACACCTCACACACACTGCACACACACCTGCACACACCTGTACACACACACACACACACACTGTACACACACACACACACACCTGCACACACACACCTGCACACACACAACACACACTGTACACACACACACACACACACACCTGTACACACACACTGCACACACACACCTGCACACACACACCTGCACACACACCCTGTACACACATGCACTGCACACACACACACTGTACACACACACACACACCTGTACACACACCTGCACACACACACACCACACACACACACTGCACACACACACTCCTGCACACACACCTGTACACACACCTGTACACACACACCTGTACACACACACTGTACACACACCTGTACACACACACACTGCACACACATGCACACTGCACACACACACACCTGCACACACACACTCCTGTACACACACCTGCACACACACACCTGCACACACACACCTGCACACACACACTCCTGCACACACACCTTGCACACACCTGTACACACACTGTACACACATGCACACACACACACACACACACCTGCACACACACACATCTGCACACACCTGCACACACACCTGCACACACCTGCACACACACACCTGCACACACACCTGCACACACACACACACTGCACACACACCTGCACACACACATCTGCACACACACATCTGCACACACACAAAACACACACATCTGCACACACCCTGCACACACCTGCACACACTGCACACACACACCTGCACACACACACTTGCACACACACTGCACACACACCTACACACACTGCCTGCTGCACACACACACCTGCACACACACTCCTGCACACACACAAAACACACACATCTGCACACACACACTGCACACACACTTGCACACACACACACACACACCTGCACACACACACTGCACACACACCTGCACACACACACACATTGCACACACACTGCACACACACACACACATGCCACAACACACCTGCACACACACACTTGCACACACACACCTGCACACACACACACACACACTGCACACACACACACACACACTGCACACGTATCAGCACACACGCACACACACACCTGCACACACACCTGCAGAGGAGCTCACGACACAGGGCGAGCTGCAGACTGATGCATAAAAACATAATCACCACAGATAATATAAAAGTGAAACGCGTCGCTGGTCTCCGCTTCCTCGTCAGCCGTTTCACACAGACACACGAGCGCACACGAGGACGAGCGTGTGCATCACCTACTGACCACAAGTAATGACCATAAACTGTGGTAATGACACGTTTTAACATTCTGTGTGTCATTAGACGTAACCCAGTTGTCACAGGACATAGATTACAATATAACACACACAGTTACTGCTTCTACTTCACTCACCGCTGCTGCTCATTCAGTCTGTCCTCTGAGCTCTGAGTTCTGAGCGCGGATCCGAGTGTCAGTAAATCCTTTTCTAGCAGCCCGGTTGTTTTTAGTTGCTCTTCTGGGCGTTTCAGGACAGTTTACACCGACAGCTTTGAAAATAAATCCCATTATTAATCCAAATGTTAGATCCAAACAAAAGCATCTTCTCATTATTTCTTGTTAAACTCTGTCAAAAGTGAAGCGCAGATCAAACTATCTGTCAACAAACTAAACAGTGCAGTGCCAGGAGGAAGTGTGGGCGGGACTAAACCAAAGCACCTGCGCTGGTTTCTGCCTGTCAGTCGACTGCAAGGAGAGACTCTGATTGGTTGGAGCTAACCAACGCCAAAACCACACACAATCTGACTGGACACTGTAGTTTTCCGTGATCAGAACATTATTCCTTCGTATTCATGAAATGTTTGATAGAAATAGTCTTAAATTGTGATTTTATTGATATATGTATATGTTGTGCAATTTAATAACAGTTTATATCATGGAATTTAATATATCAGTGCTGAAATCTGTGAAGAACTAGAAGTCCCTGGTGGTTTCCTCCTGTCGGATCATGTGACTGTAATGTTATTTGAGAAGAACTTGTTTAAAAGCACAAATCTGCTCATCTGTTTTAGTTCCAGCTAAGTCAGAGTTTCTGGTCTGATTGTGTTAAAACAAAACTCAGATTAAAGTCTAAATGTGTTACAGAGCTGCATCATATTGGGCTCTTGTTGTTTTCTTTGCAATTTGTAAATATTGTTCTTCAACCTCTCTCCTCTCTTCTTCCTCAGGCTCGTGACGACATACTGAACGGCTCTCACCCCGTCTCCTTTGATAAGGCCTGTGAGTTCGCAGGGATCCAGGCTCAGGTGCAGTTTGGACCTCACATGGAGCACAAACACAAACCCGGCTTCCTCGAGTGAGTTTCACACCTTCATCTCTCTCCGATCTCTCTCCAATCTCTCATCTCTCACGATCTCTCTCGATCTCTCTCCATCTCTCTCCGATCTCTCCGTCTCTCACCGATCTCTCTCCGATCTCTCTCCATCTCTCTCCGATCTCTCTCCGTCTCTCATCTCTCTCCGATCTCTCTCCGATCTCTCTCCATCTCTCTCTGTCTCTCTTCTCCGATCTCTCTCCATCTCGCTTCATCTCTCTCCATCTCTCACGATCTCTCTCCATCTCTCACCATCTCTCTCCATCTCTCGCCACATCTCTCCGATCTCTCTCTAATCTCTCCCTGATCTCTCCCCATCTCTCACCATCTCTCTCAATCTCTCGCCATCTCCATTTCATCTCTCATCCATCTCTCTCCATCTGTCACTGATTTCTCATCGATCTCTCTGGATCTCTCTCCAATCTCTCTCAATCTTTCTCCATCCTCACCAATCTGTCTCCATCTCTCTCCCATCTCTCACATCTCTCTTCTCTCCCATCTCACCGATCCTTCACCGATCCCTCACCCATCTCTCGCCATCTCACCAATTTCTCCCATCTCTCCCCATCTTCATCTCTCTCTCTCTCACAGATCTCTCTCCATCTCTCCCATCTCTCTCCATCTCTTCCCATCTCTTCTTCATCTCTCACCGATCTCTCTCCATCTCTCTATCTCTCTCTCGATCTCTCCATCTCTCACCATCTCTCTCCATCTCTCACCGATCTCTCTCCATCTCTCTCTCGATCTCTCACCAATCTCTCTCCATCTCTTCCCATCTCTTCCCATCTCTCTCCATCTCTTCCCATCTCTCTCCATCTCTCTCCATCTCTTCCCATCTCTCTCCATCTCCATCTGTCCCCATCTCTTCCCATCGCTCTCCATCTCTCATCGATCTCTCTCCATCTCTCTCCCGATCTCTCACCATCTCTCTCCATCTCTCTCCATCTCTCTCCATCTCTCTCCATCTCATCTCTCCATCTCTCTCCATCTCGATCTCTCTCCATCTCTCACAGATCTCTCTCCATCTCTCTCCATCCATCTCTCTCCATCTCATCTCTCTCCATCTCTCTCCATCTCTCTCTCTCATCTCTCCCCATCTCTTCCCATCTCTCTTCATCTCTCACCGATCTCTCTCCATCTCTCCGTATCTCTCTCTCGATCTCTCACCAATCTCTCTCCATCTCTCACAGATCTCTCTCCATCTCTCCCCATCTCTTCCCATCTCTCTCCATCTCTTCCCATCTCTCTCCATCTCTCTCCATCTCTTCCCATCTCTCTCCATCTCTCTCCATCTCATCATCTCTCTCCCATCTCTCCCTCTCTCTCATCTCTCTCCATCTCTCACCGATCTCTCACTGATCTCTCTCTGGATCTCTCTCCAATCTCTCTGTCTCTCAGTCTTTCTCAGTCCCTCTCCATCTCTCATCAATCTCTCTCCATCTCTCTCCATCTCTCTCCATCTCTCCAACACTGACTTAAAGGTGCTGTTGGTGACTGCTCTGACCTTCACCTGTTTGTTTTGTGCAGATGTTATTCCTTCTGTAAATCTGTAACTTAAACCATTCAAGATCTATAAGTTTAATGGCGTAATTTAATAATCACATCACCATGGAGACAAGCAGGTAGCCCACCTCCGCAAGAAAGGTCACGTAGTTCTCCTTTATTTATAAAGGATTGTCAAAGCACTATTATTGTAGGACAGTCTGTGTTACTCATACACACAAACATCCGCTCTGGAGAGGTGGGTGGAGTTCATTTTGCACCACAGGATCGATCCTTGCAATATTTATAAACTCCATCTTGAGATACTCCTGCTGTACGGGTAATCAGGCGTCTGGACCAATCACGCCGCAGCACTGGGGTTGTGCAGAAGCCAGAGGGGAAGCGCCCAAACGAACCAAAACAAACACAGACAGACGCACTTCAGCCTGTTTTAGCGCCAGTACAGCTACAGATTATTGAAAAAAATGTGCAGAATGTAAGAGCTTTGTGCGTTTGTGGAAGATGTTCTGTGCTTCTCTCTCAAATGGATTTAACAAAAGTTTGATTTTCCTGCTCGTTCTGCTGTTGTGACACTTCGATCAATCAGATTAAAATAATCATCATGACGCTACATGTTTTCCGATCGCTTTCAGTAAGAGTTGTCCCAGATCCAGTGGCAGAGTTTGCAATTTGGGGGCCCTAGGTGAACTTGAGTTTGGGGTTCCTCATTATAACGCTGTTTATTTTATTATTATTTATTTTTCAACATTCATTGTCTGTTTCCCCTTTCTTCTTGAGACACGCACGTCTCTATTTGAATTATGATAGACTGGAAAATTGTCTTATTAGTCAGGCAGCCTACAAATAACCAAGGGAAAAACTGACAGTTAAAGGTTGTATGGAGGATTTTTGTTTTGTTTCGAATTGTAAAACTGAAAGTTTAAAATACCATTACAGAGACGCAGCAGCTTTGTAATTATGATGACCAAAAAAAAAGATGAAAATCGATCAACTGTGGACGTGTTGAGGCCAGATAAACATCAGCCAATAGAAAACGAGGCTGCCTCATTTTCTATTGGCTGTTCGGTTGTCAATCAAACTTGCTGCGTTTCTAGTGTAACTGACTCGCCTGCGCGTGGGGATTTCGTGGTTTATGCAGAGGTTTCTTAGAGGCTTTTTTTAAACTGTCGCTTCCTCGCAGTTCGCACAAAGTTTGTCGCGATGGTGGACGAGAATCCACGACCAGTTCGCCGCGAAAGAAAGTCAATTTTTGAGGTCGATGAAAGAAGAAGAGAAGGCGAAAAGGAGCAAAGACAACCTGAGGTGATTCTTGGAGATCTTGTCCAGCGATGGCGCGAATGAAGCAGGCGAAGGGTCTAAAAACTGACGCGTCGGTCGATGAATTAATTCTAGACAGGAAACTTCAACAGTAATTCTGAACGAGGCTGTAAATAAGTGTGATTTTTAGAGTAAAGAAGCGGGAGGAGGAGATGTTTCTACTGAGGAGCTGTGGAGGAGGAAGGTGGAGTCACACATGCACAACATTTGAAAAAGAAATGTCGCTGTATTTCTCTTCCCTTAAAAAATCCTCTATACAACCTTTAAAACAGATTTGACAGCCAGATACTATTTTGATCATGTTTTCTTGTTTAAAAGTAAACTGCTCTCATTTAAATGCCATATTGAGAGAAAATCTAATTGCTCTGAGGCCTCGGCTTTTAGTGGCACTGAGGGCAATTGGTTTGGGGGCCCCTGCCGTTTTGGGGGCTCTAAGCGACCGTCTATTGTTGCCTAATAGTAGCGCCGCCTCTGAACAGATTGATAATGTGAAGAACTCAAATCAGTGACACACAGATCAGTCAGATGATGATGATAGTCTCTGGTTGGACTGGGAACAAAATTCGGCCCTGGGATTTTCCCCTCTGAATCTGCGGTGGAAACTGAGGAATTGGAGGGAAGTAAGGCTGTGTGATTAACTGAATTTTGATCGCGACTCGATTATATGATCACGACTCATAATTGAGTTGAAACTTTAAGCTTAACAAAGTATATAAATATAGAGATTATAGAACAGCTGGATATATAATTTATTTTGGATACATTTATGTTTTTCTGCCTTATTTCTTGTTCAAAATATATTTTATTCATTTTAGTTTTATACATCGCAAAACTGCTCTAAGGTTCATATTTGTAGACTATATTTTCAATTTGAAAGTTATCAATAAAACAATAACAAAGTGTTTTGTTTTTTTTTTTTGTTTTTTTGAGAGAGAGAGAAATACTGAACAAATGCATCATGTAACAAAAAAATAAATAAAAATTTGAATAATCGTGATTTCAGTATTGACCAAAATGTGTGAAAAATCCCTCAGTCGTCCAGGTGGAATCCATGGCAACGGAGAAATTCAATTTGTCAACTGGACAAAGTTTATTTGGTCGAATACATTTTCGCAGCTCATCCAAGCAGAACTGAACTGAAGAAACAGCTTGGATGAGCTGCGAAACTTATTCGACCAAATAAACTTTGTCCAGTTGACAAATTAAATTTCTCCTTTTGCTTTCAATAATGACCAAAATAGTCGTGATTTTGTTTTCCATAATCGAGCAGGGAGAAGGCTAATCTGATTCATCTGCCGGTTTCCCTTCGTAGAAACCATCTGACCTCACAGTGTTAGGATTCGTTTCGCTCAGTGGTAGACGGGTACTTTTTTTAACCAGTTGGTGCTATTTGGTCGTGATGTATTTAAACTGCGTCTAACGGGGATAACTGGAAGATTAAGCTTTTCCCAAATCCCGTAGGAAGAAGGACAATAACATCTTTCCCCTGAATAAAATTCACTAAACATTCTCTTTACTCCGGCTTTAAATCCTGGATCTTGCGAATCGTTGCCAACGCATAATGTCTGTCTCTTTGCTGATTGGTGCTCAAACTCACACTTCCGGGGTTTTTGCAAATCGTCTAGTGTATTCCGATTCCTGACCTAGTAGCTGGAGAGAAATTAAATTGAGCAGAGGCATTAGGTGGTGCCAGCCATGCTAAGAGAAGGCCACCGCTTTGGCCCAAATGTGTTCTGAAGTGGACCGTCCCACTGGGCTTTTTCCTGGAAGTACAGATTACGAGCCCAAGCCTGAACAACCCTGACTTGAGCAGTCAGGGTTTGAAGCGTTCACAATCTGATTATAAGGCGACTGTTTTACTAGAGTCACAGTTCCACAGTTCCCTCTCACCTGCCTCTGTGTGTGCGTCAGGCGCTCGCTGCTCTGTAATAAACTCTGACCTCATGTGAATGTCATGTGTCTTTAGCCTCAAGGAGTTCCTCCCAAAGGAATACATCAAACAGCGAGGGGCAGAGAAGAAAATATTTCAGGTATGTCCACAGCATATATTTTGATGTTTCTTACGTTTTCACATTCTAATCATCGTGTTACTGCCCCCTTTTGGACCAGGACCATAAATCCTGTGGAGAGATGACAGAGATTGAAGCCAAAGTGAAGTATGTGAAGTTGGCCCGGTCCCTTCCCACGTACGGAGTCTCCTTCTTCCTGGTCAAAGTAAGTCCAGTCACTTTGAGATAAAACTTGATGCTGTTTGGACTTTGTCAGCTGTTCAGGAGATAAAAAAGTAGGTTTGATTTTGATGAGGGGTTTTCCTGGTGTGGCCTGGTCTGGAGGCGTGACTTGGTTTAGTTTCCAGATATTTTATGTATTTTTGTGGAGCTATTTTGGACATAAAAGCTTCAGCGCCATTGTGATTTATGGATATGGTCTTGGCAAATTTACTCAAATGTTGAGAAGCATTAAGCAAAGCAGATTTTCATTCAAGGACAAGATTTATTAAAAGATTATTTCTCATATTCTGCTGGTGTCATGCATATTTTAATTTTCATCTAAAACAGGAGTTCACAACCCTCGGGTCGTGGACCGGAACAGGGCGACAAACGTGGAAACCCCCTCCTCCCATACGCATCTCTAAACCAGAACTAAACTGGAACTAAACCGGGACTAAACCGGGACTAAACCTGGACTAAACGGGGAATAAACCAGGTTTAAAACTAGGACTAAACCAGGTCTAAACCAGGTCTAAAACCAGGTCTAAAACCAGGATTAAATCTAGGACTAAAACTAGGATTAAAACTAGGACTAAACCAGGTCTAAAACCAGGTCTAAAACCAAGTTTAAAACCAGGACTAAACCAGGATTAAACTAGGACTAAAAACTAGGACTAAACCAGGACTAAACCAGGGACTAAAACAGGGGACTAAAACCAGGAAAACTAAACCAGGTCTAAACCAGGACTAAAACCAGAAATAAAACCTAGGACTAAACCAGGACTAAAACCAGGACTAAAAAGAAACTAAAAACCAGGTCTAAACTGGGATTAAACCAGGTCTACACCAGNCACACACACCTGTACACACACACACACACCTGTACACACACACCACACACACACCTGCACACACACCTACACACACACACACACACCTGTACACACACACACACCTGCACACACACACCTGCACACACACCTGCACACACACTCCTGTACATACACCTGCACACACACACCTGCACACACACACTCCTGCACACACGCCTGCACGCACACCTGTACACACACCTGTACACACATACCTGCACACACACATCTGCACACACACACACACACACACCTGCACACACACATCTGCACACACACCTGCACACACACTCCTGACACACACCTGCACACACCTGCACACACACACACACCTGCACACACACACTACCTGCACACACACACACACCTGCACACACACACCTGCACACACACACCTGCACACACACACTGCACACACACACCTGCACACACACACCTGCACACACACACTGCACACACACACACACACCTGCACACACACACCTGCACACACACCTGCACACACACCTGCACACACACACACACACCTGCACACACACACCTGCACACACACCTGCACACACACACCTGCACACACACACCTGCACACACACACCTGCACACACACACTTGCACACACACCTGCACACACACACCTGCACACACATCTGCACACACACCTACACACATGCCTGCACACACACACACACACCTGCACACACACACTTGCACTGCACACACACACCTGCACACACACCTGCACACACACTGCACACGTATCAGCACACGCACACACACCTGCACACACACCTGCAGAGGAGCTCACGACACAGGGCGAGCTGCAGACAGATGCATAAAAACATAATCACCACAGATAATATAAAAATGAAACGCGTCGCTGGTCTCCACTTCCTCGTCAGCCGTTTCACACAGACACACGAGCGCACACGAGGACGAGCGTGTGCATCACCTACTGACCACAAGTAATGACCATAAACTGTGGTAATGACACGTTTTAACATTCTGTGTGTCATTAGACGTAACCCAGTTGTCACAGGACATAGATTACAATATAACACACACAGTTACTGCTTCTGCTTCACTCACCGCTGCTGCTCATTCAGTCTGTCCTCTGAGCTCTGAGTTCTGAGCGCGGATCCGAGTGTCAGTAAATCCTTTTCTAGCAGCCCGGTTGTTTTTAGTTGCTCTTCTGGGCGTTTCAGGACAGTTTACACCGACAGCTTTGAAAATAAATCCCATTATTAATCCAAATGTTAGATCCAAACAAAAGCATCTTCTCATTATTTCTTGTTAAACTCTGTCAAAAGTGAAGCGCAAATCAAACTATCTGTCAACAAACTAAAACAGTGCAGTGCCAGGAGGAAGTGTGGGCGGGACTAAACCAAAGCACCTGCGCTGGTTTCTGCCTGTCAGTCGACTGCAAGGAGAGACTCTGATTGGTTGGAGCTAACCAACGCCAAAACCACACACAATCTGACTGGACACTGTAGTTTTCCGTGATCAGAACATTATTCCTTCGTATTCATGAAATGTTTGATAGAAATAGTCTTAAATTGTGATTTTATTGATATATGTATATGTTGTGCAATTTAATAACAGTTTATATCATGGAATTTAATATATCAGTGCTGAAATCTGTGAAGAACTAGAAGTCCCTGGTGGTTTCCTCCTGTCGGATCATGTGACTGTAATGTTATTTGAGAAGAACTTGTTTAAAAGCACAAATCTGCTCATCTGTTTTAGTTCCAGCTAAGTCAGAGTTTCTGGTCTGATTGTGTTAAAACAAAACTCAGATTAAAGTCTAAATGTGTTACAGAGCTGCATCATATTGGGCTCTTGTTGTTTTCTTTGCAATTTGTAAATATTGTTCTTCAACCTCTCTCCTCTCTTCTTCCTCAGGCTCGTGACGACATACTGAACGGCTCTCACCCCGTCTCCTTTGATAAGGCCTGTGAGTTCGCAGGGATCCAGGCTCAGGTGCAGTTTGGACCTCACATGGAGCACAAACACAAACCCGGCTTCCTCGAGTGAGTTCACCACATCTCTCATCTCTCTCCGTCTCTCTCTATCTCTCACCAAACTCTCACGATCTCTCATGATCTCTCATGATCTCTCTCAATCTCTCTCCAATCTCTCTCCACATCTCTCCGATCTCTCACCGATCTCTCTCAATCTTTCTCCATCTCCATCTCTCTCCATCCCTCTCCATCTCCCATTTATCTCTCATCCATCTCTCTCCATCTCTCACCGATCTCTCTCCATCTCTCTCCATCTCTCCCCATCTCTTCCCATCTCTCCATCTCTCACCGATCTCTCTCCATCTCTTTCTCGATCTCTCACAGATCTCTCTCCATCTCTCTCCATCTCTCCCCATCTCTTCCCATCTCTCTCCATCTCTCACCAATCTCTCTCCATCTCTCTGTATCTCTCTCTCGATCTCTCACCGATCTCTCTCCATCTCTCTCTCGATCTCTCACCGATCTCTCTCCATCTCTCTCCGATCTCTCTCCATCTCTCCATCTCTCTCCATCTCTCTCTCATCTCTCACCGATCTCTCTCCATCTCTCTCATCTCTCTCCATCTCTCTCCATCTCTCTCCATCTCTCTCCATCTCTTCCCATCTCTCTCCATCTCTCTCCATCTCTCTCTCCATCTCTCTCCATCTCTCTCCATCTCTCACCGATCTCTCTCCATCTCTCTCCATCTCTTCCCATCTCTCTCTCTCTCTCCATCTCTCTCTCCATCTCTCTCCATCTCTCTCCATCTCTCTCTCCATCTCTTCCCATCTCTCTTCTCCATCTCTCTCCATCTCTCTCCATCTCTCTCCCATCTCTCTCCATCTCTCTCCATCTCTCTCCATCTCTCTCTCCATCTCTCTCCATCTCTCCATCTCTCTCCATCTCTTCTCCATCTCTCTCCATCTCTCTCTCTCCATCTCTCTCTCCATCTCTCTCCATCTCTCTCCATCTCTCTCCATTCTCTTCCATCTCTCTCCATCTCTCTCCATCTCTCTCCATCTCTCTCTCCATCTCTCCCATCTCTCATCTCTCTCCATCTCTCTCCATCTCTCTCATCTCCATCTCTCTCCATCTCTCTCCATCTCTTCCCATCTCTCTCCATCTCTCTCCATCTCTCCCCATCTCTTCCCATCTCTTTCCATCTCTTCCCATCTCTCTCCATCTCTCTCCATCTCCATCTGTCCCCATCTCTTCCCATCTCTCTCCGATCTCTCACCGATCTCTCACTGATCTCTCTCTGGATCTCTCTCCAATCTCTCTGTCTCTCAGTCTTTCTCAGTCCCTCTCCATCTCTCATCAATCTCTCTCCATCTCTCTCCATCTCTCATTGATTTCCATCTCTCTCCATCTCTCTCCATCTCGCTTCATTTCTCCAACACTGACTTAAAGGTGCTGTTGGTGACTGCTCTGACCTTCACCTGTTTGTTTTGTGCAGATGTTATTCTCTTCTGTAAATCTGTAACTTAAACCATTCAAGATCTATAAGTTTAATGGCGTAATTTAATAATCACATCACCATGGAGACAAGCAGGTAGCCCACCCTCCGCAAGAAAGGTCACGTAGTTCTCCTTTATTTATAACAGGATTGTCAAAGCACTATTATTGTAGGACAGTCTGTGTTACTCATACACACAACATCCGCTCTGGAGAGGTGGGTGGAGTTCATTTTGCACCACAGGATCGATCCTTGCAATATTTATAAACTCCATCTTGAGATACTCCTGCTGTACGGGTAATCAAACGTCTGGACCAATCACGCCGCAGCACTGGGGTTTGTGCAGAAGCCAGAGGGGAAGCGCCCAAACGAACCAAAACAAACACAGACAGACGCACTTCAGCCTGTTTTAGCGCCAGTACAGCTACAGATTATTGAAAAAATGTGCAGAATGTAAGAGCTTTGTGCGTTTGTGGAAGATGTCTGTGCTTCTCTCTCAAATGGATTTAACAAAAGTTTGATTTTCCTGCTCGTTCTGCTGTTGTGACACTTCGATCAATCAGATTAAAATAATCATCATGACGCTACATGTTTTCCGATCGCTTTCAGTAAGAGTTGTCCCAGATCCAGTGGCAGAGTTTGCAATTTGGGGGCCCTAGGTGAACTTGAGTTTGGGGTC